CTTCCTCAGAGCCTGGAAAGGTCAAGTTGACAGCAATCTACTTGGCCAGACGCCTCCATAACCAAACAAAGAAACTCTAAACCAAGATTTCAATCACATTGAACACAGCTTTGCACACTCACCGCTTTCTATGAAGTCTCCACTAAGTATGTCACGTAGAGACCAACCACACAAAAATCACATGGAAGTATAATGTGCCCCACTCATCAAAATAGCAGTCTTATATACTGCCCTACATCACGCGTGATAATGAGGCATTCTTCCCTGCGGTTCATTTTCGGATTTCTGGAATTAATCCAGAGTGCCTCGAGAGTTTTTCGCGCCTGTGTTCTTGATTCGCGTGCAAGGATCGTGACACATACTTCAAAGTCCTCCCCGTTATGTCTCTGGGTCCTATGCGTGCCTAGCGGAGTATTTGGTCTATGTTTGCCGGCTAGGTGATCTTTTATGCGGACACAGAGGGGTCTGCCCGTTTCGCCAATGTATTCGTCACCGCACGTCTTACAGGAGATCAGATAAACTGTACCCGAGCTCATGCAATCACCGTCTCTACAATTAGAGCAAATTGTGCAAATTTGCGCTGCACATAGACGGTGATATAGGCAGTTATGAACTAACTGGCGCCTAAGATTACTCGGTGGTGTTTCAACTATGTTTAACGAATTCTCTAGACCCGCCCTTCTTAAGCAGCGTTTTATAGCTGCACTTACATCATTTGAGATGAAGGGTAGGATAAACGGGACCTTTCTGTCGCTAGAGTTGTCGCTTGGGGGCCTAGGATTTCCCCTACACCTATCCCGAGCTACAGTTTCATAGCCATTAGAAATGGCTATTTGCCGTGACAAGTTCCGGGACTCCTCTCTCTGTTCTCTTCCCGTGCACACGTTGGTTGCTGTTCGAAGCATTCTTACAAGCGCGCTTTTCGTGTGAGAAAGGTGAGAGGAGAGATAATGAACCAAGATGCTTTTACTACTTGGCTTTCGGTACCACTTCGTAATGTAGCCATTTTCTGACAGGTGAATTTGACGTTGAGGAATGGAAGCCATTTTTCTTTCGGTTTCTCTCGGGTGAACTTGATATACTCTGACTGTTTATTCAACAGCTCGAAACATTTCTCCATTTCCTCTTGTGTTGAGCAAAGGACAAAACAGTCATCTATATATCTACAGTAGAGTAGCGGCCCGAGATCAGTCACCGGTGCTTCCACCGTAGACATAAATGCAATGGCAAGGCTTGGAGCCAGTCGTTGTCCCATTGCCAACCCTCTTATTTGAGCGTAGTACTTTCCGGACCATCTGGAGATTGAGCAGCTCAAGCATTCTTTTAAGAGTGCCATCAACTGCTCTATCTTGAAGCCATACACGTTTATTTCTCCTTCGTGTTGTGTAAGGAGTTCGAATATGGCTTGCATTGCGGAGTAATTCGACACGTTTGTATAAAGGGCGGTAACGTCGAAGGACTCCATCACGCACGCGCTGTTGGGCTGCGCAGTACGTAGACGATCCAGAAACATCTGGGTGTTCGTAAGATGGGCTGGAATGTGTTTCAGCAACTGGTTAAATATCAGGGTTAAAAACCATGTTATCCTGTCCGTTGGCCCGTCTACGCAGCTAATGATAGGTCTAACCTTAAATAGTGATAGTGGAGATAACGAAAAAGCATCTTGAAGATGCTTCGCTTTATCGACTATCGTCTGAGGAGGAATTTAAAAGAAAATACCGAAAACTGAACCACGAATGGGCCAAAATGGCAAGGGCTGCTGGTTTAAAAGCATCAGTTATCTCTCAACTAAAAGTTGACTTACCAACATGCCCCGTCTTGTACTTACTTATAAAAACTCAAAACACAGGAGGAAATGGACAAATGCTTTGAGTTGTTAAACACACAGTCAGAGTACATCAAGTTCACCCGAGAAAAACCGAAGGAAAAATGGCTTCCATTCCTGAACGTGCAAATTCACCTGTCGGTGAATGGCTTCATTACAAAATGGTACCGAAAGCCAAGTAGTAAAAACATTTTGGTTCATTACCTCTCCTCTCACCCCTCTCACACGAAAAGGGCGCTTATAAGAAACACGTTTCGAACGGCAACCAATGTGTGTACGGGAAGAGAACAGAGAGAGGAGTCCCGAAACTTGGCACGGCAAATAGCCATTTCTAATGGCTACGAAACTGTAGCTCAGGATAGGTGTAGGGAAAATCCTAGGCCTCCAGACAACAACTCTAGCGATAGAAGGGTCCCGTTTATCCTACCCTTTATCTCAAATGATATAAGTACAGCTATAAAACGCTGCTTAAGAAGGGCGGGTTTAGAGAATTCGGTACGCGTAGTTGAAATACCACCGAGTAATCTTAAGCGCCAGCTAGTTCGTAACCGCCTATATGACCGTCTATGTGCAACTCAAAACTGCATAATTTGCCCCAGTGGTAGAGACGGTGATTGCATGAGCTCGGGTATAGTTTATCTGATCTCCTGTAAGACGTGCGGTGACGAATACATTGGCGAAACGGGCAGACCCCTCTGTGTCCGCATAAAAGAACACCTAGCCGGCAAACATAGACCAAATACTCCGCTAGGCACGCATAGGACCCAGAGACATAACGGGGAGGACTTTGAAGTATGTGTCACGACCCTTGCACGCGAATCAAGAACACAGGCGCGAAAAACTCTCGAGGCACTCTGGATTAATTCCAGAAATCCGAAAATGAACCGCAGGGAAGAATGCCTCATTATCACGCGTGATGTAGGGCAGTATATAAGACTGCTATTTTGATGAGTGGGGCACATTATACTTCCATGTGATTTTTGTGCGGTTGGTCTCTACGTGACATACTTAGTGGAGACTTCATAGAAAGCGGTGAGTGTGCAAAGCTGTGTTCAATGTGATTGAAATCTTGGTTTAGAGTTTCTTTGTTTGGTTATGGAGGCGTCTGGCCAAGTAGATTGCTGTCAACTTGACCTTTCCAGGCTCTGAGGAAGGCGAAATCCGCCGAAACGTCAGCTCATTCGTGAATAAAGAATAATAACACCTCGCGTTTGCTCAACAAAAATACGAAGAATTACTTGATCAATGCCGAGGTTAATAGAAACTCGGTCATGGGAGTTACTGAATATACTATATAATATATAATATGAATATACTAGCGAGACGGGTATTCCACTGTGCATCCGCATAAAACAACAGCCAGCCGGTAAACTTAAACTTAAACCAAGGACTCCCCCGTGTTCACATAGGACACAGAAACATAACGGAGAAAATTTTGAAGTAAAAGCCACTGTCCTCGCATCGGAATCCGAAACGTCAGTGGGTAAAACTCTTGAAGCAGTTTGGATGAAATCCATGAATCGAAAAACGAACAGCGAAGAGGAGTGCCTCGTGTTCATGCCTAACGCTAGCCCAGGCTGGTTGTCTGACTGAGCCAGGCGCGTATTCACCCATGTAATCCTCCGTGCGACTGGTCTTTGCCATATAACTGGAAGATCTACAAAGAACAAAACGATGGGTTCTTAGAAGAAGTTCATCAAGAAAACAGTGGAATATTGATCAATGAGAGGTTAGAGGTTCGGTCTTGTGATTTGACACCAATTATCAATAAGCGTCGCGAAAATGAAGTACAATGCTCTTCAAGCATTTCAAATACAGCCTTTATTTTGGGACGCACGAACAAGGCGTGGAAAAATGCAGTCCTCCTGATCCATTCGGTCACCGAGTAACTCGAGTTGGGATGAGTAAACACCAATTGTCTTCATCACGCATCGGTGTCATACAGTGGACACGAAGTGCACTACACTTTTGGTACGGTGTCTTTTCTCGGTTTTTGGCGAGAATGCAACCGTGGAAAGCTCGCCTGATGCAGCCATGCGATAAATTTTTTCTTAGTTGGGTTCTTGTTTAAAGTATTAGACTCCTTTTTAACTAAGGGAAGCTTCCGTCCGAGTATAGATCCTTGCAATACGTCGAAATTCAACACGCAAAAAAACTCCTGATGACGCGTTAAACCTATGGGTGGAAGCATAAATGACATAGGTATTATTATATTTCACTATTTGCCAATAGTAAATCCCATATATACGAAATGGAGCAAGCACGAGGACGATCTCACTTGCTGTTTTCAAGCATCGTTCTCCTCTGAATTATATCATGTTCAATGGAAAGACCTGTCTTCGTGAGGTATATTCCGATTTCGCGAGCGTGAAACTCCTTTTCGCAGACCATCGCGAAGTCTTTCGCCATATGCACTGCTTCTTCTGAAAAATTTCCTTTCACTGGACACATAATCAAAGACCAAATAAGCTAATCCTCACAAAAAAATCAGGAGCACCATGCTAACCACAAAAATTTAACGACGTCGTTAGAAATGATACATTACGCAGCTTTAAAAATATTTTCGCTGTTCTGCCATTTGCCACATTAACAAATTTTAAATCCCCTCTATGTGTGTTTATAAAGCAGGGGGAGGGAGGGGGTGGTGGGACCTAACGAGATCTGACGAACGTCCAGACGTCCAGGAAATTGTTGAAAAATTAATCACTGAGGTGGATAGCTAATCGAAATTTGAACTATTAGAGGATCATATTGATTTTAACTTATTATTTACTGCCTATTCTTTTTAACGGCAGGATATATTGCGAAATATAACTTTCAATGATGCTGAGATATTTGCAAAACTCCGGACCGCAAATGTCTGTGGTGAGAAACGAACGCACTATTGTCATTTCCGGGGAGTAACGCATTCACCACCACACCATGCGGGTCCTCGTTTCACCTGTCTCTCAGCTAGTTCTGTCAATCTTTTGCCATCAGCAGTCACCCGTCAGTTCCCCACCGCAGACACCTGCGGTCCGGAGTTTTGCAAATATCTCAGCATCATTGAAAATCATATTGGTTTTGTTTAAAAAATGGATGTCATTTATTCATGTAGTTAAGAGTCATAAGATTCTTTCAGTTTTTGTTACAATGGTGCCTATTATTTCCGAACGACACGCCCAATCACGTAATGGATTACTTGTGGGCACTCGTTCCTGATTTTAATTTGGTAGGCAAAATTGGTCTTGTACTGCTGACAAATTCCATTGATATAAAGAATATAATTACTTGAAGTACCTTCGACAAGAGCCGTCCATGCTGTGACATTGGCTTGTTTGCGACGTCCAGCCGGAAGAGTCAGACCAATTTTCCTTAGCGAATCACGCAGTGTCTTGCCGCCGTCCTTCGACTTAGCTCTTTAATTATTTTTACAAACTAAAACAAAACTAAACTTTCAAAAAAACTATATGCAGCTTATTAGATTTTAGCATTTATGAATTGTTGTTGAACTGTTGTTCATTGTTAAATACCTTAAGCTGAAATGAAGCGCAACTAGAAATATTTCACACGTCCAAATATTTACTTTAACTGCGTCATAGATAAGTGCCACTGCTTCCTTATTCAACATTCACTCACCGGCGTAAGATCCCTCCAAGAAGAGATGCGTTCAGACACTCAGGCGGGCTGATTCTACGCTGGATCTCGCCAACGGTCACGCGATATTTCGTCGTACTGCTGAGTAAGCTTGTCCTCCCTGGCACCGTACAGTACACCTGAATCCCCATTTTCGAAAGCGTTCTAGAAATTCGATGAATGTAATGCAAACACGAGTAGTTCACCTCGCATGGGTCCACACCGCCCGCACTAGACGGAGCATCTCCGAAAAACAAAAGCGGAATATCGACTTTGCGAGCCGCTTAAACAACTATTAACTCGATATAACCTTTCAGGCATATTACAAGACAATTCTTCGAGTGCAATGTGAAAGGTTTACTGATTCTTCTCCTATAACGAAAACTTTTTACGACGTCTGTGCTTTCTAGTTTATGAGCAGAAGCATTGAGCTTAGGACAGCGTAAATCCTCCAAATACAGCATTTCGACATCAACGAACAAATGAAGATAGAGAGAAAAATATTGCGTGTATCTTCCATTTGTTGCAGATAAGGCAATTGCAATTTTTTGAGGCAATATATTAGGAGAAATTACCTTTAAAGAATTCTTATAGAAAATGAGCAAGAGCGACAATGCCAATGACAAGAGGGAGTATGCTTGGGTGTAAAGAAGGTTAGTAGTTAAAGGTGACCCGTGGCTGTTCCCTTAACCTCGTGCTCGATGCTATCCAAGCCCTTCATTTCTCCGAGGTCACCAAATAAGTACCGGAGTTGCTTGGCAGGAAAAAAACTCCGACAACATATATTAGTTGGCCACTTAAAGTGACTGCGTAGCAAACTGTTCATTCAGTACGCTTAATGGAATCAAAGACGTGGCGCATCTTATCTGTAAGAGATTGATCAAGGCCGGGCGATTTTAAGCTTTCAGCTCAGCAAAAACGCGATCGTTTAGTAGAGCAGGTCTAGAAGACATAAAGGAGATCTCGCAGTTCAACCACTTACGACGGTGAGTCGAACACCGCATGCATTATTTCGGCAGCGGGGCTGTGATGGAAATGCAGCATTCAAAAAGTTGTTCCTGTTAGATTTACAAAAATGAAATCGTATCTTCAGTGTTAAGCGCGTATTGAAAATGGCGATCCAAACACTCCATGTCAAAACGAAGCGCTTGTTATTAAAAATGGCTCAGCTTCGATAAAAAAACGCATTAGTACTTTTGACTGTGAAAGAAAGGTCAATACGCTTATGTAATAGTTGTTTTTAGTTTTTTTAAAGCATTGTAGACGACATGCACTGATTTCAATGCGTACGTGGAGAGCAAACAAGAAAGTATGCATTATTTGCAGCTCATTCTTTTTGGGCTGTTTCATTGTACTGACAGTTTAATTTCCTGAATTGAGTTTCGTATTTAATAGTCGCTTAAACACAATAGAATAGAACTTACAACAGTTGTCATCTGGAAAAGCTAATTTTTACATCTTAAAATTTACACGAACTGCTTCTCGGATGAGTTTGTTCACACAGAGAAAAAAGTACCGTAGCCAATGATATCGAAAAAGGAAGCAAGATCTCCATGGAGGTACGATAGCCCAAGTCTGGCGCAACGTCTTTTTGCCTACTGCGTTTATAGAGTAACGTGACAAGAACGATGTTTTCATAAACAATGATAGCTTGACTTCTTGAATTTCCTGTGATTTTGTAGATATTTTTGTCGACCTTTACCGAAAAACACCATTCTTTCCGACATGGATTTTTTGGTTTTCAAGCGTATCCACATATTAGAAAGAAGAACTCACATTTTCGTTCTAATTCTTCATTTTTAGAAGACGACGATGAGCAGAAATCCTTAATTATCGTTTTTCTTTCATAAAAACGCAAATATTGGGGCCATACGGGAGGAAACGATTCCAAAAAATCGAAAACAACCTCGATTTCTTCGTTGCCGCTGCCAAGCAAAGAGTGCTGGAAAAAACCCGGCTGCGCCATATCACCTCTCGAATACGTCAGCGTACCGATTCCACATGACGTCTAGATAGATGCATTTTTTCTTTCCATGTTTTTTTTACAAAAATGTTATTCCATTAAGAAACACACGAAGAGGCAAAGCTTCCATGTTCACATACCTCTAACTCACATAGAACCATCGTCAGTGAAAACGGAAGGGGCTTATAATCGATGAATATTACACTACAAGAGAAGGAGCTAGTTAAATTGGTCTCTAATTAATAGCTTCTCTAAATATCGAGTTCAAAACAAAAACACTTGTTTACTTTTTGCTATTGTTGGATTCTTAACAAAACTCGTCTAACGCGATGTTTTTCTTCAATAAGCAGACACGAGGTTGTTATTATAGAATTTATTACGATACAATGGCTGACGTTTTGACGATCTCACCTTCTTCAGAGCCTGGAAAGCTCAAATTGAGATGCGATCTACCCAGCCAAACACTTTCATAACTCAAGCAGGTAAAACTTAACAAATAAATTTGCGTTCACATAAGAACAGCTTCATTTAAGCACCTACCGTTTATTTGTTGTATTTAAGTTAGTTGATGGATAGCAGCCGCACAGAATAATACATGGGCGATAACTGTATCCGTGTCAGACCATTGGATTAGCCTGAGGTAAGGCTCGAAGTCACACGTGATGACATGACACTCCTCCTTGCGGTTCACTTTTGAATTTTTGGAATTGATCCAGAACGCTTCAAGAGTTTTACGCGCTGATGTTTTCGATTCGTACGTGAGGCTAGTGACCCCTACTTCAAAATGTTCTCCGTTGTGTTCCTGCATCCTATGCGCGCCTAGTGGAAGGCTTTGTTTTAATTTAGATTTACCGACTAGATGTTCTTTTATGCGGACGCAGAGCGATCTACCCGTTTCGCCAACGTATTCGTCCCCGCACGCTTTACAAGGGATCAGATAGACTGTACCCGAACTCATGCAATCACCGTCTCTACCGTTAGTGCAAATTATGCAGTTTTTCGTCATACATAGACAGTCATCTAGGCGGTTGCGAACTAGTTGTCGTCTTAGAGTGTTCGATAGTATTTCTATCACTCTTGTCGAATTCTCCAGACCGGCCCTAATTAAGCAACGTTTTATAGCTTCACTTATTTCGTTTGAAATAAAGGTCAAGAGGAACGGAGCCTTATTTTCGCTAGAATTATCGCTGTGGGGCGTGGGTTTTCCTCTATGCCTATGCCGAGAAGCTACAGTTTCGTAACCATTTGAAATGGTTATTTAGCGCGCCAGATTCGAGGACGCTTCCCTCTGACCTATACCTGTGACGCGCTGGCAGCGGTTCGAAAGGTATTTTATTATAAGCGCCCTTTTAGTGTGTGAGGGATGAGAGGAGAGGTAATGAACCACTATATTCTTACTGCTTGGCTTTCGATACCACTTTGTGTTGTAGCCATTTTCGGATAGGTTGATTTCAACGTTTAGAAATGGAAGCCAGTTTTTTTTGTCGGTTTCTCACTGGTGAATTTTATGTACTCTGACTGCTCGTTCAATAACTCAAAGCATTTGTCCATCTCCTCTTGTGTGGAGCAGATGACAAAACAATCATCTATATACCTACAGTAGAGTAATGGCCTGAGATCGATTACTGGTCCTTCCGCTTTAGACATAAAGGCTACGGCAAGGGTTGGTGCCAGTCGCTGTCCCATTGCCAACCCTCTAATTTGTGCGTAATATTTCCCGGAGCATCTGATGATCGAGCAGTTTAGGCAGGCGTTTAAGGAAACCAGACCATAAGCTGCTGAATCGAAAAGCCATACATGTTAATCGCTCCTTCGTGTTTCTCAAGAAGCTCGCGGATGGCTTGCATTGCGGAGTCGTTCGACACGTTAGTGTAAAGGGCGGTAACGTCGAACGACTCCATAACGTACGCGCTTTTGGGACGTGCGTTGCCCAGGCGCTCTAGGAACATTTGGGTGTTCGTGAGATGGGCTGGTATGTGTTTAAACAACTGGTTGAGGATTAGATTTATAAACCAAGCAGTTCTATCCGTAGGCTCGTCTACACAACTGATGATGGGTATAACTTTAAAGGTGGAGGGGTCAGTAGACGCCAAATCATCAGCGGATCTTAACTTATGGGTTTTGATAAGTAAGTATAAGGCGACATGTCGGGACTTCGATCTTAAGATGCGAAATGTCTGCTGGTTTTAAACCTGCTGCGCTTGCCACTTTGACCCATTCGTTGTTCAGTTTTCGATTTTGACTCCCGAATTCCTTTTCCCCTTTTTCTGAATCTTTGTTGATTTTGAAGTAGGAGTCAGTATCCTTACGCTCGAATCAAAAACATCAGCGCGTAAAACTCTTGAAGCGTTTTGGATCAATTCAAAAAATTGAAAAATGTACTGCAAGGAGGAGTGTCATGTCATCACGCGTCACCTGGCGCCTTACCTCAAGCTGATCGAATGGCCTGACCCGGGCACAGTCCTCGCCCATGTGTTATTCTGTGTTGTTGCTCTCCACCAAATAACTGGAGTACTTGCAACGACTAAACGGTGGGTGTTTAAATGAAGGTGTTTCTTATGCGAATGCAAATTTATTTGTTAAGCTTTTATCTACTAGGGTTATGAAAGTGTTTGGCTGAGCAGATCGCATCTCAATTTGACCTTTCCAGGCTCTGAAGAAGGCGAAACCGTCGAAATGTCGGCTATTGTACCCTAATAAGTTCTATATTACCAACTTCGTGTCGCTTATTGAAGAAAAACATCGATTTATCAATCAGTGCCGAGGTTGAAAGAAAGTCGGTCTTGGGAATTACTCGTCTTTTTCTGTGGCTAACTTAAGTAGAGAGACGAAGCCTTGTTAAAAATGAAAGATAGGACTATTGCTAGATGTAGGTGCACGATTCCTAGATGGTCAATCCGTCGCTTAGCGTTCAACTTCTCAGCCGAGAATCGTTGATGACACTATAAACGACGGACGTTTTTGTCTAAAGAGTCACATTTAGGCTTATAGAAAGCCGACTAGAACATTTTCATCAGAATTTTTCATATTGCAGGACCTACTTCTCAAGTAGAATATTTACTCTGGTCTGATCACTGTGCTATGCAGTAGATGTACAACTTGCAATAATGGAAATGACTCGAAAGAGTCACCTTTGCTGAGAAAGAATTGTGCTCAAGTGAAATTTACTGAAATCGAGACTTCATGGAAATCTTACATGGTGCTGAGCAACATTCTGATGATACGTCGTGGAGAATTCGTTGTGCGTATATCCGATGTTGAAGTACTGAGGTGGAAACGATCGATAGTCATTCCGTACGTGCTCACACTGAATACATAAACTTCGTAACAATAACGAGCATTAATAAATGTGATTGTAATAAATATCACAACTAGTTGTTGAATAGAACAATCTGTGAAAGTTCATGACAATGGCGAATTTAAAAAGTAAACCGTAGACATAAATCCATGGAGAATTAGGATCAAACGAGACCAATGTTTGACATTCTAAATAATAAACTGTAGGCAACCAAGTCTTGAAAATTCCACCCCTCGTTCCCAAAATTGAAGAGCGAGCATTCTAACCAAACCCAATCACATCTGTGAGGAATAAAGAATTCAAATTTCGATTCTAGGCAAAGTCGTCTTTTGTAATATTGGTTGCAACTCATCAGTGTTCCTAGAGTTCTCAGTATTAGGAACAAAATCAAAGCATTACTGGAAAGTTGGGTAACTGGCGAAAGTCGCATTGACTGCCTTCAGCTTCATCTTCTCCCTCGAGATCTTCTTCGTCTGTTGCCTAAAATGCAGTGCAGAATTTTAACAGCTTTTACCAATACCTGCTTCCTATCCTTAACACTTATGAAGTCTCACTGCGTTTTCAATAGTTTATAAAGAAGTACGCATTTCCTCCTAAATTTATTACAACGTTGCAAAAAATAGACATATAAATGAGACAAGTAGCTCTGAAACCTTAACGTTACGTGGTTTGTAAGTACGAAGAAAATTTCCTGTGCTAAATTCTACGTTGTGACCCGGCTGAACCGAGTGAATTTTCTGATGAATAACTACGATTTCGAAATAGCTGTGCAAAATTTTCTCATATCCTGAAATAATTTTTCTCATCACATGCAGCTTAGATTCAGCACTGCGCTACCGTACCTCCGTTTTCCTCCTCGCGAACATCTCGTGGCTCCCTCCCTGCCGTTTGCGACTGTAGTACATTTTAATATTAAGAACAGGGCACTTTCTATTGCTGAAGATTCCTGGAATTCGCTCTATATTTTTGGTTATGCCAACACTTAAGACCAGATAGGCTCATATTTCGAATTCCACACAATGTTAAATGTCAAGCTCCGACGGACGTCGGACGATGTGTCGTCGCATTGCCTATTGCTTATATCTATCTTAGTTCATGCAGTTGTTTACAGTGAAGTATCTTTGAGATGGGAACATATTGTGGCCTATAGTAGGTAAAACTTGAAACAATAAAAACAATTCCAACAGTTTGTAAATTGAAATGATTAGTCTTGAAACTTCAATTCTGCGTGAACGCAAATCAAAGCCAGTAGCTTCAGTCTACATGGAAAGTGATTTTTATACAGGTGACAACAAACATTAAACGTTCAATGATATCTGTCGATTCTACCAGCTTTTATCAACCAGGAGTGCTCCCTTTTCAAGGGAGAACACTTATGACAACTAGAAGTTGCAATTGTGGTGCGCTGTTTAATGCATTCCCTCCAATGGAAATTAAACAGTGCAGTCTCATCCACAGGATACTCAAGTTGGTCTACTTCAGTACATATTTCGTTTTGCTACACACACTTAGGACTTTCATGATCATCTACGCTTGCTAGCACTTTTTCCTCATTTCGTCGTCTTGCTGCTATCACACGCAGAAGCAATCGAGTTTGAATACGACTTCCACTGCAAACTTCTCCCATTAATTCATCAAATGCTAGTGAATTATGATTTCTCTGGTAGAACAACATAACCGAGCCAGCTCATCACCATTGACCTTTGTTGAGTGAAGGAGGGTTTAGTGGCTTGCAACCTGCATTCCTCGAGGAAGACAGCGAATCCTGCAGTCATCCAACGGCCAGGGGATGTAACAAGCCGAATTCACTTGGCTCGAAATGGGGGCCACTAATATCAACTTCTTATGTGTGACAAACGATTGAACAAATCTGGAGAGCGGTTTGGTGCAGGGAACTTAAATGAAATCCAGGTAAACTTTTTGAATGCGTCAATCTGCTCGTGAGAATTGAGCTGTAATATTCTGTTATTAAAATGGCCTTCAACAGTTTTCTGGATGTTGAAAATTTTCTAACTACCAATTTTCGGGATAAGTCTAAAGAAGCACAACTAAAACTTTCGCGTTCTAGTGCCGGCGATGACGAACAGGATTGGGTTTATCTTTATTTCTCGACGAGATATGAGACTGATTGCAGAAAACCCCTTTGATCTTATTCGTTCCCGTACAAATAGCCAGATTTTCCACAATGTTGATGAAATATTTGCAAAATATGGACCCCAAGTCAGATATTATTCACGACACTACTGAAGCCATCGCTCTGCCTCCCTGTCAGACAGTGTGTTTACCCTAACAGTGTTATCAACAATCACCCAAGATCTTCGCCGGAAAACAATACACCTTTTCTCTATAAAGTTGAATTGACATCAGCAGGATGAACAGGGAAATCGAAGGGAAGTGATCCTAATGTGTGAAAGATCTAGATGATCCTGCTCGATATAATTAGTCAAAAAGACAACTTCAACTATCGTTTTATTCGTAAAATGTGCTCCACAATTTCCTTACGACGTTCATGCTACCGACCATGATGGAAGCCATGGCAGAAGCCCAGCCAAGAAGAATTCCGGTAGGTGTTCTACTGCATAGATCACATCAAAACTATACCCTTGATACGTACTTTATACTTGAATGGCTCCTCCTCACTGGTTCTGCGGACCTCAGCATAATCTCCACTACTCGGAGATTTGCTGGTTAAGCCATTGTGGTTCCCTGAAATCCCGAGGTCACCCTGGCCAAAGTCTGCCCCAGGTCTTCACCACCACAGGCAGTCCCAGTCCTTGTGGATCAGAGGAAGATTTGCCACCATGGCACTTTGACACCAGGACGATGGTGGATCCTGGTATTAGTTTACTCTTAACTAGGCTTCCTGATAAAAACGCCGGACTCCTTCTCAGCTTGGGAGACCCTCCAGAGGATAAATTCCCCGCTGTACATCGCTGTACAACACCCGGAAACACATCCCAGCCACAATGAGGTGGTAAACCGTTGGTAGGTAAAAGTATACCCAGGGTCGTTAAATTCTGCTAGAAATAGCAATGGCGTATTACCACAAACTTTGCCGACTATGAAAAAGCGGCAGCGTTATTCTATTTGCTTCCGCGGACAAATTTGGCTTGCCCTACATGACTACTCTAGCGAATTATCATCGCAATTGCACCACGGAAATCCAGGTGTTTCATCGACTTCTTACCATTCTCAAAGAGAACGGGTGCGCTAGGGCTAAAAAATACCGCCAAGCAGTCAGCACCAGTGTTGAAGAGACAATGTCCAAATAGCTAACGATTGCACCGCGTCTTAACCAGAAGAAAACTCGAGTCGTATAAGCCCATTCAACCTGTCCGTAATTCTTTTATTACAGAAACCACATCGCATGTGTACCAAAGACGTTCAGGCAATAACATGAAAGAGAAGTTGCACAGAAGTGAATAGAGCGGTATGGGATGCGTTCGAGTGTTTCAGAGAAGAATTGATCATCTAAAACTTTTAAGGTCCCATGGTCATTTTTCCGTCTCTTTTTCGATTCATCTGGCACTCTCCTGAGACAGGTACATGGACTAACGCTGCAATCATGTCGTTAAAAATTCTGACTAATACGCGAAGAGGTCCAGAAGAACATTTTCTCAAATATAACTGTTAGCTACAGTATCAAACAGAATCCATGTGAGAAATAAGAATCACCTGATGAGAAAGTAGAAGGCAAACGTATGAAAGGAGAGCAGTATAGTGAGCCTGAAGAGGATTCAAGCGTTCACATAAGCAACTACCTGTAAGAGTAAGGGACTTATATTTGGCTCACATGAACGAACTATACTTGCGAATGGATATTGTCCGAGAATCACGAAATAACTCGAAAGACCGACTTTCTATAAACCTCGGCATAGATAGTTGATATATTTATTTATGCGATCTCATAAACTGATCTTCTTAAGCTGACGCGAGGTTGGTACAGATCTTCGTTGTCGTTGTTTTTGATGTTATTGAACGATGGCTGACGTTTCGGTGACTTCGCCTTCCTCAGAGCCTGGACGTACTTTATGTTAGAATACTTTTTATTATTCGGTGGAAAAGAAGGTTAAAGTATTAATGAAGATCAAACTTTCAAACAGACGCCATATTGAACAGAAACACCACTCACCGTGATGTTACATGCGGGACTGGCCCACACGTAGTTCACGTGGAGTCGCGAGCAGGACACGCCCCGGTGTCAAAATATCATTTTGAAATAGGGCGCCAGGTCACGCGTGATAGTGAGGCATTCGTCTTTCCGGTTTATCTTTGGATTTTTGAAATTTATCCAGAACTCCTCAAGAGTCTTGAGCGTTGACGTTTTTGATTCGTACGCTAGGATCTGGGTAGTCACTTAAAAATCATCGGCTTTGTGCTTTTGTGCCCTATCTGTACCTAGAGGAGCGCTTCGACGAATTTCCACTTCTCCATACAGATGTTTTATGCAGACGCAAAGCGGTCTGCCCATTTCCAGAAAGTATTCCTCGCCGCATGCCTCCTCGCAGTTTTCCTCGCATACATGAGATCAAGTATATTATACCTAAACTCAAGTAATCCCCGTCAATCCCGTTAGGACAGATCATACAGTTTTCTGAGCTGCACAAACGATCATAGAGACGGTTTCGAACGAACTGGCGGCGTAGGGTATTGGGTGGGATGTCAACAACCGTTACATAATTTTCAAGACCACTTTTTCTTAAGCACTTTTAATGGCGTGACTTACTTAATTTGATATGAAGGGCAGCTTAAGGGAGATCCTACTTTCGTCTGAAATATTATTTTGGGAAACCACCCACGTATTCCTCTAACCCGAGTGGCTTCTACTTCGTAGCCATTGGAAATGGCAATTTTTCGTGCCAGGTTTCGCTATTCCTTCCTTTTCTCTTTTCCTGTACACAAATTTTTAGCCGTACGATAAAATTTACACGAGAAAAACCTACCGAGAACTGGCTTCCATTCTTAAACATCCAAATAAGGCTCTCAGTAAGTGGCTATGTAACAAAATGACATCGCAAGCCAAGTAGTAAAAACATTCTAGTCCACTGCCTCTGCTCTCATCCTTCACACATGAAAAAGCACTTATCAAAGATATATATCAAAAAGTGATTAAGAAAAAGTGGTCTTGAAAATTACGTGACGATTATTGACATCCCACCCAATACCGTACGCCGCCATTTAGTTCGAAACCGTCTCTATGATCGTTTGTGCAGCTCAGAAAACTGTATGATCTGTCCTAACGGGAGAGACGGGGATTGCATGAGTTTAGGTATAATATACTTGATCTCATGTAATGCATGCGGCGAGGAATATATCGGGGAAACGGGTAGACCACTTTGTGTTCGCATAAAAGAACATCTAGATGGGAAAGCTAAAATCCGTTTAAACACCCCTATAGGTACGCATAGGGCACAAAAGCACAACGGCGATGATTTTGAAGTGAATGTGCGGATCCTAGCGCAGGAATCAAAAACATCAAC